GAGAAATCACCCCCCAGGGGGGGATGGTCACGCCGCAATCCCTTCTCCTCTCGGGATCTTGGGCACGCACGCACACGTGCCCGGCGTGAGTTTTAAGCCACCAGATCCGGGACGCGAACCGCGGTCGACTACGTGGAAGTCCAGTGACATAGCCATTACGCTAACTGCTGTTCCCTTCATTTAGGAGTTTTAAATCCTGCCTGTAGACAGCACTGGGCCCAGCACTGCCCACTCTGGCCTCTTCCTAGAGGAGCCATTGAGCTCCTGTTAGCAGCTAAGCGTGAGGGCTGGGCCTTCAGTCAGTCCTCTGTGTGGGAGCAGAGGTGGGGGTGTAGGGGTGCATAGAGCCTTGTGCTGCCAGCCTGCCTGCCGGTTGCTGGTCGGCAGTGCACCAGGGTCTCTGCCCCAAGAGCGTGGGAGTCCTCGGCGCCCAGGCTTCCTAGCTGGTTCACCTCAGACCCAGAACCACAGCAGGTGCCGAGTCAGGCCCCCCTGCCTGGAGAGAGACCGTGCTTGTTCAGGGTCACTCGGGAAATGAGTCAGGTCTCAGGCAGACCCTGCAGGGCATCCAGTCCAGGCTTCCAGGGTCCCAGCCATGGCCACCTTCCCTCTTCCCACACCCGGCCCTGGCCAAGAGAATTTGAGATGGGGCTGCCACGGTGTGAACTCATAAACGATTCCCAGGAGGCGACGGAAACCTGGCTCCTGGGAGAGAGAGGTGTGTGTTGGGTTGGCAGTGAGCCCAGTGCGGAGCTGCCCTGGTTTCCGGCACTCGGGCATGCGTGGTCACAGTCCACAGCTCAGGGGCTGGGCCAGGAGGACAAGCCTGCCAGAGTCCGGAGGGGGCGGGGAGGCCAGGGAGTGAGTCACTGAGCTGGGACAGGGAGAAGCCAGGATGGAGCCGGGCCAGGGCGGGGTGAGTGGGCCAGGATCAGCTGAGGATAGGGGCAAGGGCTTTGGGGCCTTTGTGGAGGGCCTTCAGAGAAACTGAGAGCAGACTGCGTGTCTGGCCTTATCTACCAAAATCCTGGAGTCAGTGTACTATGTGTTAGGTCAGCATTTAAAAAAAAAGAGTCCCAAGTACAACATTGAGTTCAAGGACAGGAGAAGCATTGTGATATGTTCACTGAAAGGGTTAGTCAAAGCTACATATCTGGCCTGGAGCTCCCTGGCAGCCAGAGCAAAAGAAGAAACATGATGATTTCCATTGTACCTACTTACCCACTGCCAGTTGTGTGCTGACACAGACTGTCCCAGCAAGGTACCTGCTCCCGGGGGTTTGCATTTCCTTTGTGGAAGACTGGAAATGAAGACCCACATAAGAGCATTTCAGAGAGCCTCAGGGACTGTGAAGGTAACGGAAAATGATAATTAGGCAGAGATGTGGTTATTTAGACTGGATGGTCAGGACAGCCCCACAGAGGAGATGAGTTTTGAGCTGAGACTAAAGTAAGCTTTGCAGGAAGAATGTTCCAGAGGCGCAGACCTGGGGAGGAACCTTGTTTCCTGGAGGGCAGAGGGGACTTGAGTGGCTAGGTGGAACGGATAGGGCTATAGCCCCAGAGCAGGGTGCGGTCAGGGCGGCCAGCAGCACCAGACCACCTGGGGGCAAGCAGGCCATGGGCAGAGCATGCGTCTGGCCGTTCTGTGCATGTTGTTCAGTGCCCACCTTCCCCCTGCCGCCTCCACTCCGTCTCCCAGCCCTGTCCTGGGGGTCTTGCCTGGCTCTGCACTGGGTCATATTTGAGGTATATCCCCAGGGTGGGACTTCGGGGTCCGTATGGCCGTTCTGTGTTTAACTTTCTGCGTTGGCCTTGCGTGCCAACAGGGCACTGAAGAAGTGCTAGCCCGATGTCGCAAGGCTATGTCAGTTCAGAGCCACTTGTGTTTATTGCACACCTACTGTGCGCTAGGCCTGGAGTCAGCCCTGCTGAGGCAGTGGTTGGGCTGGGCCAGTGCTGGGTTCCTGCCTTTTGCTGACCCCAGTGCTCTTTACCGTGGGGTGCAGGGTCGTGCTGGGCTGCCCTGGGCTGGGCAGTGCATGGGACCGTGCC